CGTTTCTCTGTGTTGCTAGCTCACCGTTTCTATGGACGCCATTTCCTGGCGTTTGGTGCAGTGTCTAACAGCAGGGCAAGCCGCTGAATAAGCAGCTTGAATCTCTGGGTGGACAAATCACTCCTGATTGAGCCCCAGTAACCGATCCTCGGGAGATGGAAATCCTTCTTCTAGGTTTCCGTGCACCCCAATTTTGCTGGAAATTCCTAACAAGATAGCTTTTGGCCGTTCTAACTGGTCATTCACCCACCCACGCAGTGACACGGTACACGGGGGTGATGAACTCCATTCGCCGCCATCTTCCGAGTCCTAAAATATTTTTTAAATATCAGTATTTTTGTTTACTTCAATACTTAATAGAACCTCTACTATTTTTGTGATTTTTTTTTGAGTCTTTGTTCCAAGAGGTTTCTATTTTCTCCTCTAAAAACTATTGTTAGATATTTTTAAGCTTCCTGGGTTAACCGTGCATTCCATATTTTTTTAATCCCTTTTTTTTCAGTGAGGTATTTTTTTTTATATAGGATGATAAATTTTCTCAAGATTTTATTTTGATTTTTTAAATGTTTTTAAAACTTACCCAAGCATGTTGAATTTCTTAGAGGTCTTATTTTCTAGCTGTTCTCCCTTTGCTTCTTCTTAAATGGATTTATCAGCTCAAGTACTTCTGAGTGAACTAATTACAAGAATTCTTCTTCTTCTTTAGTGAATTATTAGTCAGTACTTCTAACTGTTCCATGTCACTTTTTTCCTTTTGCATTGTTGGTTTATCTCAAAAGTCCTTGATAATTATTCTCCAATAGACCCTGCAAATGTATTATCTAAGTGTCAAGTTCTTAGTTGTCAGATTTTATTTTCTTGTGTGTTTGGGAGCATACAAATATACACCCATACTCTCTAAATGATAAATATTAGGACAATGAGGGCATTACTAGAACATTCCAACACTTCCATAGGAGTTCTAAATTCCTTGAGGTGGTGGAAGGTTATTATTTTATACTCTAAGAAGTTATGGAGTGCCCACAATGAGCAAACCACCACCTGTAAGCATCTGACTTCTGGGCATGCACAGTACAAGGGCTATGGTTCAAAACAGTGCAACTGATCAGGAAATGGAGGCATTTAGCTAATAAGATGTTTTCATCTTATTTAGCATCCCATTTTTTCTTCCTTATGGGGAGCATCTCTAGTGTTTTGATGAGAAAGAACATCTTCCACATGCACACTTCCATTTCCTTGGCATTTCTGAGATGCCTTTTCTCTAGATATATTTTTTATTTCTTTTCACCAAAATCCACCTCCTGTTTTGAGTATTGATGTGGATTTCATAATTTTTTTTAACATTCTGGCAGATACTTAAATAAAATTTATAAAAGAGAGGTAGAGAAAACCAGTGCTTAGGTTGACATTCTCATGCATAGTGCTTTAGAAAGGGAATTAATGAGAAATATTAGTATTTCATAACATTAACAAATTCATCTAATAATATTTGCTATTTATATTACTAATTGAATAGCGTGCATGTTGTTAGCATATGGTATAAATACTAATTAAATAAATACATACCTTTATGTTTTAGTTAACTTTTGCATCACTGTTACCAAAATACCTGACAAGAACAATTTAGAGGAGGAAAATAATTTATTGTGGTTTACTTTTTCCACATTTCATTCCCTGGTGGGTCTGCTTCATAGCTGAGCCTGAGGTGAGGCAGAACATAGTAGTGGAAGTGTATAGGATAGGAGGCAGCCGAGGGCTTGACAGCTAGGAAGCAGAGAGAGAGAGCTCTGCTCCCCAGGAACAATAATATAAACCCCCAAGTCACACCCCCAATAACCTTCTTGCTGTGTCCATATTCTACCTGCTATAGTTATTGTTCAGTTTGTTCATCAGGGATTTAATCCACTGGTTAGTTTTCTCCTCTCATAATGAAACAATTTCACCCCTGTAAAGTCACCTCATGTCTCACACATGAGCTTTTGGGGGAACACCTCATATCTAAACCAGAACACCAAGCAAATATAACTTATACTTTAAATGATATATCTAGTTATTAATATTTCACATTAGTATGTCTTGGTACTTAAAATGTTATTTTACATATTTCAGTATATTATTAGATATAATATATTATTAAAATAGCACTTGATGTATGTATTTTTGGTAGTGGGAATGGGATGAATTTCTGAAAATTATGTTTGACTCAAATCTTAGGGACTTTGTGAAAATAATAAAACATGGGATATCCTTTGAGCTTTCATCATAGTAAAAGAATATCTTGTTCCAGTATGTTGTTTATTTTTGTATCACTTTGGCTGATTTACTTTTATTTTTACTTTTATTTTTATGTTGTTTTGGAGGGCAGCCATGGTAGTATAGTTGTACTTCAGAAAGTGCGGTTGGGAATGTATATATTCTTCCCATTAATCTTTCAGTGGTTTCCAAGCCAGAAGTCTGTGTGTCAGCAGTATTTTATTTTATTGATACTGTGTCAGATCATTGGTATTTTTTTCACCTAGATAGAGTCTACTTCTGTTCACTTTCATCATTCATTGAACTTCAGTCTCTTTCAATTTATCAATTTGGTTTTCTAGAGGGAGGGAAGGAGGGAACAGCAAGAAACAAGAAAATTGTCCAAGTGTCATTACAAGAGAATCTCCATGACAGTGACCACCAAAGATTAGTTCATTCTTAAACTAAATTGTTTGCAGTTTTTCTCCATTTTTGTGCACTTTCATCCTTGATCATCCCTCCCACACACTACTGATATCTTCTGACACCATATTTCTATATATGACAATGCTGAGTGACATAGGCATATGTGAAATGTGCCTTCAATCATATAAACCTTAAAAGTGTCAGCTTAAGAAATGTATTTTAATCAGTTTTCACTGATTAGCATATGAAAATATGCTACTTAATATTAAGTGACAAAGAAATGAATATCAGTTAGTTTCACTGTTTATATAATTTTAGTGCTCCACAAAGAGTCTACTCAAGTACCCCAAGTGCCCCAGCTCTCAAAAGAGCTGTCATTAACATTACATAAAAACCACCTCTGTTTTTTACAATGTGTCCAGCCAGCTGTAGTCATGAATTTATTTGTGTTTAGGCCATTGATTCTTATCCTTAAGCTGAATATTTTGATTCAAATATGGATATTGTGACTTGTATGTTTTCAAATTTTTTAAGTATCACTAAATGCAATAGTTTGCTTTATTCTGCATAGAGTGAACTTTTAATATTTACTGGCTTGAATTCTGTTTCTTTTTCAAAGTAGAATGGCTTTAACTATAGGTCCACATTTAAGGAATTCTCTTTTTTAAATTTGTAAATCCTTTTCTATAAAGTATTTAATTTGTATTACTTTAGGAGTTATCTTTTTCAAAGTTCAAACTGAAAATAATTTGTGGGTTTTTTTCTTTTTGTACTCTGGATTGAACTCAGGGGCACTTGAACACTGAGCCACATTCCCAGCCCTATTTTGTATTTTATTTAGAGACAGGGTCTCACTGAGTTGATTAGCAACTCACCTTCTTCCTGTGTCCATATTCTACCTCCTATAGTTATGGCTATAGTTATAGTTGCTGACGTTGGCTTTGAACTCGAAATCCTCCTGTCTCAACCTCCTGAGCTGCTGAGATTATAGGTGTGCATCACCATACCAAAATAAACTGAAAATAATTTTGATAAACATTTACATTAGAAAGAATTAAGATCAAGTTAAAAATTATAAAATGACATTGTGTTGAAATAATAAAACTACCGATTATAATAATTTGTTAGATTCACAAATTAGATTACCCTTGAAACAGGCAGAAGATCTGAAGGATGAATAACTGAAACTACTGTCTTCATGTGTATTTTACATGCCTTTTTATTGATAGCTTATTAATTTGTTTTTTTCTAGGAACTCTTTTGATTAAGTTTAGGAGTTTTGTTATTATTGCTTATTACTTTTCTGTTTTATCATGTATTCTATATTTGATTGTAATATATCCTTGTCAGGGGTCAGTGGTGAAAAGGACAGTAACAGAAACAATAATTATTATCTACTTGAACACTTGCTATGTTTCACATATTTTGTTGGGTGCTGAGGCTAGAGAGAAATTCAAGTTTATACAATTCTGTCAACCAGGCTAGAATTTCAGTCTATGTCTGACTCTAAAGGGCTTGCCTTAATGCTCTATAGTATTCTGACATTTCCTGATTTATGACACTTTAAAAATAATTCTAAGTATTATTTGGATACTGGCAATCATAAAATGTTAATTTGATATGTCTCCCAAGTAATCCTGATAATAGTGGTCACTATTATTACCAGGCAAGATGGAGCACTGATCATTCTACAATAAGTTATGAAATTTACTTACCACAGCTATCATAAAAATTAGGTGCTAATAATTCCAGCTATGATGATAAGTAGAGTGGTGGAATGAGCAGGTTTTGAACACCATTCCCAAATCTATGTTTTTAGCTTGTGTTCATCACTTCAAAATATGATGCTTTGCACTTGTTCACTACAATTTCTCAATTTTTTTCTGCTATTCACAACTTCTTATGCCTTTTGCATTTTTGGAAGACCTTCTTTGTTATTTACTTTTATTATTATAAAAATAAATAACACATGATATGGCAAAGAAAAATTGCATTGAAAATGTTTTAGTGTAACATACAATAGAAATATAGGATTCATTCCAATTTTAGTATTCAATTCATGTTGACAGTATTTTGGTGGACCAACTTTCTAAAATTTTAAAATACATTATACTTTTAAGGTTATTTGTATTGTACATAATCTCTGGAAAGTAAGGAAATTCACATGTTGTGATGTAAATTGTTATCTAAGACTACATTAAAATTGAAAATATTTAATTTTTGAAAATCATGATTACTTCTATTGCTTATCAGTCTCCCACAGTTTTTCTTGAGGCACAAATTGATCTTTCTTTATTCTTTTTTTTTTTTTTGTCTCAAAAACTAATTTATTATTTTGTCAGCTATCCCCTGGTCTCCATGCTGGATCCACTCTGATTCCAATGAATAGCATTTCTCTGCCGCAAGGAGAAGATGATTATGGGTATCAGTGTTTGGAGGGTAAAGATTGTGCCAGCTTCTTCTGCTGCTTTGAAGACTGCAGAACAGGATCTTGGAGGGAAGGAAGGATCCACATACGCATTGCGAAAATTGACTCCTACTCGCGAATATTTTTCCCAACAGCTTTCGCACTATTCAATCTGGTTTACTGGGTTGGTTATCTTTACTTATAAATTCCATTCCTAAACAAAAAATCATAAAACATCTGGCTAAATCTGATGTAATATGTTGTACTTCAGTAATAAGAGTGTCAAACTTAAAATGGGGAGAATCCAATGGTTAAAATCTGAATAGTATTATAACTATTTTAAGGCCTTCATAGGTAAATAAAATAACTACTTTTAAATTCATTTACATAAATTTACAGAAAACTCATTAGTTGTCAGATCCAGTATGTTAAAATATTATTATATATATTATTAATTTATTAGTATTAAATCTTGTTAGGATTTTGAAAGCTTCATAAGTTATGTGATACATATTTTAAAGATGAAATAAATTTGGTATGTATTTTGTTTAAATATAACTATCATTGTATTGGGAGACTAATGCCTAATGTTTAATAACTATTTTGTCTAGAAACATTGCTTACTTGATTTTTTTTTCTTGATTTTTATTTATCTACACTGTTTGGTATGCAGTTTGTTAAAACAAATTTATAATTTCTTTGAATTTATTTCCAAGATTTTTCATTCCCCAGAAGACACTGTTTTACTAATTTTTTAAAGTTATTTGTTGTGAATTGACAACTTGTAGTTGCATAAATTTTTGGAGTGAAAAATGTTATCATTATCTATGAATACAATCTGAAATAATTAAATCAAAAGCTAGTTGGCAATTACAGGTAACTTATGAAATAGCCAGTATGTATCTGTCATTTAATCCAGTCCATTTCCTGATTCAATATTAAACAAAACTCTGGCTACATTTAGTCTGAGGATCTATAAAATTAGATGGACATAGTCGCATCAGTTTTTTCATAAGCAAGGTGAAAAAAATTCAGGAAAAATGTTACACTTATCCATTTTATTTTCTGCCTAATAATATTTATGAAGCATGAAGATGTTAACACTGAAATGCTAAGATCTGCTCACATTACAATTCAATGCAAAAGGAAAAGATAATTGTTTTCTTTAGGTGCTAGAAGAGTGTTACAGTCCCTCAGTTAACAAGCATTAGGGAAGAGAGGTTACATGTATTCTTAATGGTTAAAAGTTATTTAGAAAATTAGATTTCAAGTCATATTGAGGGTATGATCTTAAATACGTAGTATTAACATTTATTAGACCGTACGTATCTGGGAAACAGTTTAAGGCCTGTGTCACATATTGCCTCTTCCACCTCCCGGATTCTGGTCCAGTTTTACAACTACATTATAAATGGTTCTGTTCTCTTTTCTAGAAAATGGGGCAAGCCTCAAAATCATGTTAAAAGTGGAGCTTTTCAGAGGCATCCTGAATGAACTTGAGTGTGGGAGCTCTTTAAATTTCTACAGAAAACAGTAGGAAAAGTGCCGATAAAGTCTCACTATATGTAAAGACTATCAATACTTGCCAACTGTCTCTAGTTAAGAAGGGAATTAAAGTTAGGCTTCAATGATTATATTCCAGTAAGTCATTTAGCATATCAATTTCTTATACAAGCTCCATATTCATTCACCAAAACCAGATCCTGGAGAAACACCACAGTCAGCCAGAAGATAAACTTTAAAAAGTGTTCCCATTGCCAAGAGCAAGATTAGAGTGAAGAGTTTTATGATTGAGTCCTTAAAAGAGTAGAAAATCAAAGGAAATATTTTCCCCAGAAGTCTCACTAAATATAAAGTTTCGATGTCACCTTCATATTTGACAGTTGAGATCTTAATGTGAGTTTCCTCTCCTACTTGGTCAGTGAGTGGGTTCTGGCATGGTTATACTTGTTTTTGGAACATACAGGATTTTTTACCTGGCTAAATCTGATTTTTTTTCCTTTGCTTACAAACCCCTGAGAAAAGAAGCAGGAATTGAACAGTAATGACAAATATCCACTGAGACTGCCCTTTTTTAAAAAATGGAAAGCCAATTAAACTTTGGCTGTGTATATATTCATTTGTAGATTATTCATGCATTCAGGTTTATAACATCGAGTACTGGTGGATATTCTAACTTGCACATTCATTTCTGGATAAATGAAAAATAAAGTATCCATGAAGAAATAAAGTACTTCATTAAATTTTTTATGGCTAGTTCACATGTTTTAAGCTATAGCCTGCTCATTATCATGGGGCAGTTTTGACTTTGGGGCTCTTTCAATTGTATCTGAGCATGACTACATTTTAAAATATATAAAATGCTTGATATAAACAGCCTGGATTTTCTCATTGGTGTTTTATTAACTAGACTTCAAATGTTGACAGTATTTAAAAGTGAAAACAAAACTGATGAAAATATAAAAGATGATTTTCTATTTATATTTCTTGTATATACCATAAAAATAAGCCCATTGTTTTCAAAGCTGCTATTATTTTGAGCAGTTTTTATTTAAATATTCAGATCAGAAAGAGAGGTATACAAACTGATTATTTCTAAAAATTAGCATGAAAAGGTCAAAGTACATTTAGACACTTTTTACAAGAAATCAAAAAGAACTTATTTTCAAATGGGAGGCAATGTAATCCTTCTTCCTTTCTTCTTTAAAGTATTAATTTTACCATTTTGGGAAATATGTTTTAAAAAGCTTCCTCTTTTTCTAGGTGAGTTATGTCTAAATTTACTGGGACTTGTGTACCCTGGATGGAAAAAAAAAAGTTTTTAACACTCATACCAAAACAGTGGATATAACAGATGAGAAAGATAACTGAAGCAGAAGGATTTAGTAGAATCATTTTTAAAAAAAATGTTAATTCATGTAGATGTATCCTCTAAATATATGTCCAGGATGCAAAACTTCTGAGAGAGAAATGAGATTAGCACATTGTTTTTCCATTTAGATTTACAATAACATGGCAACATTTTATGAATCCTTGAACTGCATGGACAAAATTAGGCTCACTTGCAATCAATTACTATAATGTTGAGTTGTTGCTGTTGTTGTTGTTGTTTTAATAGATAATTATATTTCTGAGAATTCAGTAGGGAAAGGGAATATTTTCCCCAGAAGTCTCACTAAATATAAAGTTTTGATGTAAGCAAAAAAATCAGACAATTCTTTGAATGCATTTTATTTTAAGGTAAAGATAGATTTCATTATGTTTTTAAAGCTGATCAATTCTGAATCAAAGCCCAGTAAATATGTGTAAATAAAGAGGTGACCATCTGGGCTTTTCACCTTTAGTGTGTTCCCATATTCAGATATCTATGTAGTCATAAAACAAGCCACATCTTTCCTTAAGAACAAGGACAAAATTGAGGACTGCTTTTTATTTTTATTTTTTTAGTTATTGATGGACAGTTATTTTTTATTTATTCATTTATATAGTGTGCTGAGAATCAAACCCAGTGCCTCACATGTTCTAAGCAAGAGCTCTACCACTGAGCCACAACCCCAACCTGAGGACTGCTTTCTTGAAAATGTCTCAAGATCAAAAAGAATGACTGGTAGTATTCTCACACCATGGGGCCCACAAATAAAAAGGTGAAATTGTGTATCAAGTCAATATATTAAGACTAAATGCATTCTATACTTTGACTCTATAATAGAAAAGCATATGATTCGTTTGAGTAAAATTGAAACTAACACCTAGTATTTGAATAAACACAGCGAAAGAATAAATATATGCATTACAATGATCCAAATTCTATATAAGTGCTTATTCTCAGTCTTGTAAACTTTGTTGGAGAAAGAAGCCACATCCACAACCATTTCATTGGTCTCAGCACCAGGATCAAAGAGCCCCAATTGATGCTTTAATGATTTAGAATTTGTCCCATTACACATATTATAAATATTATCTCTGACCAAGTATTTTTTTAATCATTAAATTTATTCAGCTACTTAGTATCTTATTGTATGAAGGTCAGCTCTAATTGGTATTGTCTGTTAGCCATTCTTTGCCTCTTACTGCTAGGGAGGCCTTATCGTGCCACAATGAAGCTGCAAAAACCATTAACAAGTCTTTATTAAAGACATTCCAAATGGACTTTTCAAACACCATTGACCACGTTGCTCTTGTAAACATAAGGTTGTCTCTGCTTTTTTTGTGTTTGTATTTTGGAAGTGAAGTAACCTAATTTAAATATTTATGCAAATCTTCGTCTCAAGCTCTTCGTCCCTACCCTGTCCTTGTTTCCTCCCCTTATATCAGAGGAGTCATTTGGTATTTGTTTTTTAAAGATTGACTAGCTTCACTTAGCATAATCTGCTCTAATGCCATCCATTTCCCTCCAAATTCTATGATTTT